ATACATAATGCAACAAATAAATAAATGAATAAAATAACATAACCAACAAAATAAATAAATATGCAAGCTGCCCTTAATTGGAAGATGAATATTCTTAAGGTGCAGTCACATTTAGCGTTGCTCTGCAAAATCTTGCTATTGACAATGTACAATTGGCCTTTTTGCATGGAAAATTACCCTCAAATTTCGCTAATGTAAACACACCTTTAGTCAGGGTAGATAGTAAATATCATTTTACATGTATAAAATGAGACACTAAGGGGGTAAACGTACAGTTCAACAGGTTGCACCACTGTGTACTTCAGTATTCATCATTCAACTGAAAAAAATCATAAAAGCTGATTTTTAATAAACACTGAAAGAGTCTATACATAATGCAACAAATAAATAAATGAATAAAATAACATAACCAGCAAAATAAATAAATATGCAAGCTGCCCTTAATTGGAAGATGAATATTCTTAAGGTGCAGTCACATTTAGCGTTGCTCTGCAAAATCTTGCTATTGACAATGTACAACTGGCCTTTTTGCATGGAAAATTACCCTCAAATTTCGCTAATGTAAACACACCTTTAGTCAGGGTAGATAGTAAATATCATTTTACATGTATAAAATGAGACACTAAGGGGGTAAACGTACAGTTCAACAGGTTGCACCACTGTGTACTTCAGTATTCATCATTCAACTGAAAAAAAACATTACAAATATATTCATGCATTTTCAGTGCAAGAGTCACTGAATCATCCATGCAATCGATTCGTTCAAAAACACACCTTCATCCAGCAAGTAAACAAGTGTGTGCTTTTTATGAGTGAATCATCGATTCAACCGATTCACTCAAAGACGTCGATTTGTTCAGCAACGAAACAAGTGAGTGAATCATTGAAAGGCGTTTCTAGCCTTTCATAAGTACTATGACACAGCCCCATCACAAAGTGTCCCCATATTATAATACTCATATTTAATGTTTCAATATATGGATATAAATGGTCTTTTCCTGCAATACTGTGTGTTGCTCATTCACAAGCTCTAAAGAGCTGCTTCATCGCCGATGTGGGTTTTAAAGGATCCCGTTATGGTGAGAAAAACCCGTCCAAACGATTCAGTGCGTGAGTGAACTGTCCGAATGAATCAATCTGAATCGCAAACTATTTCAGTTCTTGTTGCGAACCCATTTGACCGATTAGATTAATAGTGATTCGTTCGCAAAACAGCTGATAGAATCACACAACGTGATTGCTTAAATATTATAGTACATAAAATAACAAATAAAATGTGGCACATGATTCTTGACCTGAAAAGATTAAAGACTCCTGCAACACAGAATTGTTTTAACTTATTGTTGTAGTGGATTAGAAACTCAAAACAATGTATCATCATCATACATAGCCCACAGCTGCTATGTAACTACATTTCACCATGTAACTATATCTGTGTTATTGAGCAGAATTCCTGGACTAAGACACCGAGACTACCGTTCTATTGTTGTATTGCGAGCTGGGTAATCTGAAATCCCATTCAGGGTGACAGTACCGAGATAAAGCCTGAATACCAGTGCTTGTGAAAGAAAGTGACTGTGAACACCACAGCTAGCAAAACCAGCACTACACACACAGTTACACACAGGCAGAAAGATAAGGAGCAATGAAGAAAGAGGAGCATTCTTCACTCTTGAGCTGCACTGAATGAAGCTCTCGTTAAAGAAGCATTAAATGTCCCGAAATGCAGCAAAACACCTGTAATTGCATTCCTGTCCATGGTGCGTCTCAATGGCCTTCATGCTTCGGGTTCAACTGGCTACTGTAAAAAGAGCCAGCTTCATAGGTCAAGTTTCAACTTGGACTGCAAATACACTACCGCTCAAAAGATTGGACACTCTTGACTGAACTCATGATCTTAAAAAAACATTTGACCTAAAATCTTCAGTTCAGGGTTGTTATTGTTAACAAAACCGAAAACGTTTTCAACTTTTAAGTTAACTGAAAATAAAATACATATGAAAAAAGCCTACTGTATTTCAGCTAGTTGCTCATTTTCATTCTGTTTAACTTGATGTACTAAAATAAAAATCAATAAAAACTAATAAAAAAACCCGCCAAAAACACACAACAAAAATTACTAAAACTTTAAATAAAATCAAAATATTTAAAATAATAATAAAAACTATTATAGTATCTCAGTTATACTAAAATAACACCGCTTTATTTTGTTGACAAATATAGGACTTTACTATAAGGTTTTATTTGTTAACATTAGTTAACCAAATTAGTTAACATGAACTAACAATGAACAGTTGCATTTTTATTAACTAACGTTAATGAGACCTTATTGTAAAATATTACCAACATAAATTGTATACTTATTTCTTATACACTAAAACTGAAGTTTCTTATAAATATATTTCTCATAAATTATTTAAAAAAAAATTTTTAACGGAGCAAGTAGTATTTCATAGAAGCTTATTTCTGCAATGGAATAAAAAAAATAAAATAGGTAATTGCGATTTTCTCAGAATCCCAGTTAGAAACTCGTAATTACATGCAGTTTACAATTGTAACTTTTTATCTCACAATTTTGACTTTTTTAGTTTATATCAGTATTGTGAGAAAAAAATCCCAAGGCTGAAACCAATGTTATGCATGAGTATGAAGACCCATTTATACCTATAGTTAAATAAATACATACATACATAAAGTTTGTGACTTTTTCTTGTGACTACAACAATATTTCTCATTAATTCATATACCAAAATTCACATTTTTGTTTATTACAATTTTTTTTCATCTAATCCGTTTTATTTTCCACTCTGAAGCAGAAACAGACATCCATAAAATCACACATCTTCAATAGTTTTCAAAAGCATCCCAGGGTGCACCTCATGAGCAGAGCTGTAATCTAAACGGCTCAAACTTAGTTTTCATTTCTCACATGTTTTGCTCACTACGTACATACTTCCATCTGTGGTATTTCATAGCTTTGATACCTTAATATTATTCTAAAATAAGAAAATCCTAATAAAGAATAAATAGAAGTGTCCAGACTTTAGACTGGTAGTACCTCAGTCTGTGTTTTGTATGAAGTCTCAGAGGTCAGAGGTTAAGCTCATGCACAAATCTCATTACGCCGGCCCATGGTCCGATAGCACGCAACTATGCTAAGCATGCTATTGATGACTTCCTTTAATATCGCTGCTGGCAGCATTCGGGACATTCCAAGTGGTACAGTGGGACGGGGCGAGCGTGCCGCAGTGTGTTTGAAAGGGCCGTGTGTTTGAGGGGAGCGTTTAGGTTTAAAGGCAGCACAGACCGTGTAATGTCTATATTTCTGCAGGTAAGTGAGTCTATTTTGAGAGTTTTGAGGTCCGAAAGCACCTTTCAGAGTTGGTGAAAAAAGCATAACTATGTTCATAGGCAGTTTTGATATATTTTGGGGACTAAAGTGAACCTTTTACATCTGCAAGTTCTCGCACTTAAGCCTTCTGGGAAAGAAAATAAACAGGAGAAGGATCGTGAGCACTGTTGTCGAAGAAACATTCCTTTGGCCGGAAAGTCAAAACTTTTGATTCCAAACCTCCTTTTACTCATTCACTTTTAATGTAGAAAATGTAGAACATGCATTATTGCATTTTGACATTTTCATAACAATTAAGCACATCACCCCCATTCACATTACTGTAATGTGAAATATATATCTATATATTGAATTATTATTATTTTTGTTTATCCATAACACAGGGATTATCTTCACACAATTATCTTCACTTCAATTTTCTTCACATTAGTGTAAAAATATAAATAGATCAAATATAAATATTAGTAAATATTAGAAAGCTGCCATGGCAACAAACTAAGTTTAAGTTGACATATTCACCAAAACGGAAATAAAAAAATAAAGAGAAAAATTATAAAAGGCACAGACAAATGACTGAAACAAACAAAAACTCCATCCGGACAGCCGAATCCCTCACAATCTTCAAGAAACAACCGAAAACTCATCTCTTCCGTGAGCATCTAACTGCATCCTCATAAAAAAAATTAAAATAAAAAATTCTATGCCTTCACTTTTTCTATTCTATTATATCCTTTATCCCTACCTGTCCTAGCTTTTACTATTTTGAACGAAGACTGAAAACTTTCTTATGATCTATCTTATGATAAATCACTTCTTGTATTCCTCAACTGTAAGTCGCTTCAGATAAAAGCGTCTGCCAAATGAATAAATGTAAATAAAAACAAAATATTAATAAAAAACTATAATAGTGTATAAATAAAACTAAAATAACACTGCTTCACATATCAGCTTTTGAGTGCAAGGCTGTGTTTATTCAGCCTGGTCTCATGTTTATACGTAGGTATTAATACGTAACATTTACAAGCACAAAACGTACACTTTTGTACGTTTTTATTAATGCTAAAACGTACAATTTAGACGTATTTCAACGTTTAAAACGTACAAATCGCTACGTATTTTTAGTTAAAAAACTTACAAATATTTACGTATCTTTTATATCATTAAGATATTCGTATCAATGCATTTTTATCATTTTATCATTAAGCGATTTAGATTTTTAGACCCCTTAACCTACCCCCAAACCTAAACCTACCCATTTTTATAGCGAATATGCATTTTTATAATTTTATTAATGCGCAATTTAGATTTTTAGACCCCTTAACCTACCCATTTTATAGCGAATATAAAAGGATATAAAACGCAAATGACCGAAATATGCAAGCAGTACTAAAAGTAATCCAAATGACGATGCGTTGCACCCGCAGTCCTCTCTGGCGGAATACAGTAGGTTTGTGTGATCCAGAGCAGAATTTATGTTGTTAATCGCTGAAAATATTATCCAGATAATTTTCCCGATCCACTCCGTGCGTGAACTCGTGATGGGCCTCATTCAAAAATCCCATCCATTCAAAAATCCATCCTCACCAGAAACACGGCATGTCGCAATCTGTGACGAATGCAGGCCAGAGCCAAAAAAGTAAATGAGTAACGTTAAACAATTTAATAATGCAATTGAAAACAAGGTAATTCATATGACAACTAAAAACTAATAAAACTGATGCGCGATTTCAATATTCATAAGGATTCATTTGTAGGTGTCGTCAATATGTCAGTTTTGTACGTTTAGAGGCTGAAAATACGTCAGTATTGTACGCTTTAGTGCCTGTAAAAACGTAAGTAAATGTACGTTTTATAGAACCACATTTTACGTAAAATACATACGAATTATCATGAGATCACGCTGGTTTATTTCCACCGTAAATACCTGTTTAAACAAATAAACAGGTCAAAAGAGTTTTCTGTGGTCACTGACATTCTCATACTGAACTCAAAGCATTCGTTATCATACATTCCTTATTATGCATTGATTTGAAATTGATAATTTAATACACTTCATTTTACTTTGCATATTGATTTTGACAGTATTCCACAATGATGCAAACTGTCCTCAAAGCATTCGTTATCATACATTCCTTATTATGCATTGATTTGATTGATAATTTAATACACTTCATTTTACTTTGCATATTGATTTTGACAGTATTCCACAATGATGCAAACTGTCCGAACAATCTTCAGCATATTTTTGAACAGTGTTGAGGAAAGTTACTTTTAAAAGTAATGCATTACAATATTGCGTTACTCCCTAAAAAAGTAACTAATTACGTTACTTAGTTACTTTTTATGGAAAGTAATGCGTTACGTTACTTTTGCGTTACTTTTGCGTTACTTTTTAAATATGAGCAGGGCTTGATTGTTTTTAACATAAGAAGTTCTATTTATAGCAAATATAAAAGCCCTTTCACACCAAAAAGTGTAATGAATAAACCTCAGGCTGAAGCAAAAGTAAACTCACGTCTGTACAGTAGAACGCAGGAGAAGAAACACTCTTCAGCAATAAAAAAACAATGAAGCACAATTGTTAGTTTATCTAAAGTCATTTTTGCTTATTAGTATGGTTGAACTGGATCATCAAAGGTCAGCAGCAAAGATATTAGTTAATAAATGGGATTAGATACATTTGTGTTATTTAACATATTTAATTATTGCAGATTTGCATCATATTCTGAGTTTGCATTTCACTGTTTTAATTCATTTTGATGAATACTAAGGCCCCGTTCACACAGAAAACATTTTTTGCAGTGTTTTGAACTGTTTTCGGTTGGCAGAGAGCGTTCTGCATGCGCCTCGCGTTTTTGCAGGAGCGCTCTGGGCGCCTGAAGTTGAAAAAAAAGCAACTCTGAGCAGAAACAACGTCCGACGTCATTCGCGTTTTTTCCATTGTCCAATCGAATGAACGGAGAGGCGGGCCTTCCGTTGTGAGGACGAAAGTTTACCGTTGCTTAGAAAGTCCAGAGACTGCTATGTTGGAGGAGAAACTTTTGGTGTCTGTCACGGGTTAAAAAGTAATGCGTTACTTTACTAGTTACTTGAAAAAAGTAATCTGATTACGTATCTCGCGTTACTTGTAATGCGTTACCCCCAGCACTGTTTTTGAAAACATTTATGAATCACCTAAACCAGATACTCCACCACAGCATTACACCCTATACTTACATCACTACTCTTTTATTATAGAAATAACCACAAATCAAATCAAAAGCAAGTGGTTTCAGGGACCACTGCATCAGCTCTTCAGGGATCTCTCTCTGCCTTAACATGTGTAGCTAACAGTGCTCTATCTGCTCATCTCTGGTGAACATGTGTTAACACTTCTTCTGTCCACGGGCCTCACAAGCATGCTCTCACTGTCCATTACAGATATTTACAGCAGCGGCAGTAAATTCCCAGCTAGAGCAGATGGAAGTTTGCCTCCCGCAGCTGCTGCAGACAGATGTTGCATGGCACAGTAGCTGTTGTAAACCTAACCGACCTCACAACCGTTTACGATCAGATACTGTGAATGTGACAGCGGCCGAATGAGAGAACGCAGTTTAGATGAACTGGTTTCAGAAGCCGCTCAACATTCCCTTCCTCCGTTTGTTAACATTCCAGGAGATCGGTTTCATTTTACTGTGCCATTCTGTACAGGAAATAGGGAAGAATGTGGGCTCGTTTAATTCCGTCAACAATTCAGGCGTTTTCCATGGACACATAATCCTCAGCTCTGTACAGACACGGAGATAAGAATCTGGGACATTTCAACTATTTCTTTCATTCTGCCTTAATTAGGACTGCAAAATCCACGATAAAGACGGTATTCCAGATAATACAATAAGTGGTTTTACAAGACACAACCATTCAGGATGAATGTCATGAAATCAAACATGTTTGGGTCATTTTCACCCCAAAATCAAAATATATATATATATTTTGCTTTGTGACATTATTTTCATGACAGGATAGATGGATAACTAAATAAACCGAATGCCTCTAGTTTATGATGATTTAAATCATTGATTTAAGTTGTATATATAACAAATATTTTATTACTTTTTTACTATATTTATTTTTTATTTGATAAAATCTGCCATAGAATGAACTATCAAAAATAATGAAATCTGCAAAAAAGAAAAAGCTGATTTAGTGGCTTTACAAAACACAACCATTCAGGGTGAATCTAATGAAATCAAACATTTTGGGGTCATATTTCACCATAAAAATGAAAAGAAAAGTCAAAACGAAAAGATATTTTGCACTGTGACATTATTTTCATGACAGCATATCATTATTTGTTGTATAATAATTATAACATTATAAAAAATTATTGTATTGCCTTTATGTTGCATTAAATCATTGGTTAAAATTATTGTATTGCATTTTTCATGTTAATTTTAATTCCATAAATTATTTTGCAAAAGGCCTGAGTTCACTTTGGTAATGTAAATCTTGTTTAATTGTCCTAAAAATAGGATCCATTTTCTGTATACCAAATATATTTTAATTTCTAATTTTAAGATTAGTAGCATTAAGTCAAGTCACCTTTATTTATATAGCGCTTTATACAATACAGATTTAAAGTGTTAAACAGGCCAACATTTATTTGGGATGATTTGCCATTAAACCTGTTTATTGTGAACTGTAACATCATTGATCCCAGCTAATCAGAGAACAAACATTGGTCAGCACATAAGTTGTTTTTCTCACAGATGTGAGCGTGTGCACCAGTAACCCGTGTCAGAATGGCGGCACCTGTGTGGAGGCTCTGAACCAGTACAAGTGCACCTGTCCACACAACTGGAGCGGGAGTCAATGTCAATACCAGACGCAGACAGGTCTGTGTTTCATTAATCTATTCTATACGTGTCACCAGCAGACAGGAGGACGGGACAGAAGGGAATCTGGAACATATCAACTAGGGGTGGGTGATATGGCCAAAATATCATATCACGATTTTTTCAGGAAGGATCGGTGACCCACGATCTTATCGTGATTCTATTTTATGCTAGTTTTTAAAGGGATAGTTCACCCAAAAATTAAAGTTCTGTCATCATTTACTTACTCTCAAGCTGTTCCAAATCTGTATGAGTTTCTTTTTTCTGCTGCACACAAAAGTCACAGATGTGAGCGTGTGCACCAGTAACCCGTGTCAGAATGGCGGCACCTGTGTGGAGGCTCTGAACCAGTACAAGTGCACCTGTCCACACAACTGGAGCGGGAGTCAATGTCAATACCAGACGCAGACAGGTCTGTGTTTCATTAATCTATTCTATACGTGTCACCAGCAGACAGGAGGACGGGACAGAAGGGAATCTGGAACATATCAACTAGGGGTGGGTGATATGGCCAAAATATCATATCACGATTTTTTCAGGAAGGATCGGTGACCCACGATCTTATCGTGATTCTATTTTATGCTAGTTTTTAAAGGGATAGTTCACCCAAAAATAAAAGTTCTGTCATCATTTACTTACTCTCAAGCTGTTCCAAATCTGTATGAGTTTCTTTTTTCTGCTGCACACAAAATAAGTAGATATTTTGAAGAATGTTGGTAACCAAACAGTTGACAGTATCCACTGACTTCCATAGTATGACAAAAAGGAAATGGTTACTTTTAAAAGTAATGCAATACAATATCGTGTTACTCCCTAAAAAAGTAACTAATTGCATGCAAATACAACAGGCAGAAGGAAATGCAAATTCACATCTGTGCAGTAGAGGGCGCAGCTCAAACAAACCATTCAGACTGCATGAAGAATAGGATGCAGGAGAAGAAAGTTCAACACTCTTCAGCAATAAAAAAACAAAAATGAAACAAATGTTGTCTATCTAAAATAATTGTTGCTTAGTATGGTTTGAATTGGATCATCAAATGTCAGCAGCAAAGACATTGATTATTAAAATGGGATTAAATACATAAAGGATACAGGTTTAATTATTGCAGGGTTGCATATTTAGAGTTTGCATTTCACTGTTTTTATTCATTTTGAGGAATACTGAATCTGTTTTTGTGCGAGTGATATGAGTAAATGCATGTTCACATTTAGTCTATAACTACAGTAACAATCATGTTTACACGGCGCACGCAACGCCTCTGCACTCACTCCTGATTTCTCTCAACAGGAGAGCTGTCAGTCAATCAATGGCAAAACAAAGTGAAAAGTAATGTGTTACTTTACTAGTTACTTGAAAAAAAGTAATCTGATTACGTAACTCGTAATGCGTTACCCCCACATTTTTGGATTAGATTGAAAAGTAGGTAGTGGACGGATCACCCACCCCTGATATCAACCACACATCCATGCCTAAAAATTAAAAACCCACTAACATCATGGTGGGGACTTCTTAAGAAAATGCAAAAAAAAAAAAACTTTTGCAATTCCAAATGGAGCTGCTAGTAGTGAAGCATGACACACTTCACCTTTAACCTGGTCTTTAAATGAAAGCATGCATGTGAATATATGTGTGTTTGTTGGAGGTTAAGCCTCCTCTTTTCCATTTCCTCTCTGTGTCTCTCAGCCCCTCCGGAGTGGAGCGTCATGAATGACCCGGCCTTCAGCCGCAAGCCCCGCTGTGCCAAAGTGGACCGAGCTCAGCACTGCAGCTGTGACGCTGGCTTCCACATGAGCGGCACCTCAGACAACAGCATCTGTCAGGGTGGGTCCATCATACAACCGCATATAGGGATTTTGGTAAAGATCTCAGGATGCATTAAAGCAATAAACTGCTGGAGGCTGTCCATTACACTGATTATACCAGTAAATGCTAAATGTATTATTAACAATAATTATAAGATGACACTTAATAAGGGCCACTTTAACATGTCAGATCAGGTAAAAATAACTCTTTAAGTCAGGGATTTCCAAACCTTTTTGTCAGCCAAACCCCTCTAACCTAAAATATTTACTATAAACAGTTAATATTTCAATAATTTAACAACACATTCGCATGTTCACAGTTCTTGATTAATGGTCACATGACATGTAGGTAAAAAAAAAACAAATTTAATTCCATATTTAGTGTTTCATTTTGATTGCTTTTTTATTTTTAATTATAATTTTACATTTTTATGATTTCAATAATTATTAGCCTTTTCATCAAAGGTGTAGCTTCTTACAGTAGGGTACAACAGGCACAATAATTGACATGATAATAAATAACAGGCTGACTTTTCCACTTGTTGACATGACATGGTTAGATTCAGATGGTGATAACATCACCATATCTACAATCGAACCAGCATATTTAAAAATACGATATGAATCATATCATATTTATTGTTACAACTATAAAGCCATATTAAGTTATTATGGGATCTCTTTCACAGCTTTCAGAATGTTTACTTTTTTAAATGAACATTTTTATGTTTATTAAACAAAAATAAATCTTTTATTTATCAGAATAAACAGGCAATAGCACAAACCTTGCTGAAGTGGTTGTTTTGAACAGCATTAACTTAGACGTTATGCAAAACATATTACTTGAGTATTTGTATCAATGCATGATTTTTAAACAAAACACTTTTATGATTTATTTTCCCACAAGATGTGCTGTCTGTTTTCTGCAATTATATACTATAGGAGTAGTTCAAAGAATATTTTCCCTAAGATGTGCCTTTAGCCCTGTTGTACCCTATATTTTATTTTCCTTTCTGTCACTGTCTCTTGTCAAATCCACACATGTAATCATATGTTGAGTTATTATGTGTGCATGTGCCCAGACGTGAATGAATGTGAGGTGTATAAGGCTGACCGTGGCGGGCCTCTGTGCGGTCACGCCTGTGTAAACGTCCCAGGATCGTACCACTGCTCCTGTCCCACCGGATACAAGCTGCTCGCTGATGGAAGAAACTGTGAGGGTGAGTGAGAAACGCTCACACACACACTCTTAAAAATAAGGGTTGAGAATAGTAGTGTTTTACAGCCTGATGTCACAGGACAGTAAGAAATAATTCAACTAAAAATAAACAACCTGACATTATTTACTCACCCTCATGTCGGTCCAAACCCGTATGACGTCTTTGCTGAAAGACCCTCTATTTTTAGTGGTTTGAATGTGAATCTAAAAAAGCGACAGGCAGGACATACTCTGTGAAAGTCATTTGGACACCTTACAAAGACCTCCAGGGGTAAATGAAGTGGGCAGATGAAGACGAATAATGAGGACATGGAAGAGAAGAGGTTGATTCAGGTTTTGGCTGGTGAGGCTTAGGAACATTCGGAGAACAAAAGTGAGAGATCATCCAGCAGTGTTGACGTGAATCAATCTTGCAAATAAAATAAAGATAATTTTTGGTAGTAGCATTAATTTGAGGAAAAAAGAAAAAAAAGTAAACTAAAATATATAATGTATTTGACATCACTAATCAACCCGTCCTTTTTTTGAACAACTAGTTGATTTTCGTGACCCATCCCTAATATTTATGTAGTGTAAGTTTGATATTTAAATTAGGGTATCTTGTTGTATTATTTGTATGTATTGTCAAATTTTTTTTTTTTGTGCTACATGAAGCAAAAAATAAATACCATTATTCTGATGTTTTGTATTTCCTCCTTGAATAGTTGAATTGCCATTTGCTACGTTGTATTAGTAACTTGTGTAGCTAACTGTTTTTAAACAGCAGATTACCTTTCTAGTTGAAATTCTGATGGTCTTACAATAAAATAGTACATAAAATAAAATATTTATAATTTTATAAATTGAAAATTAAATATTTTATTTTATTCTGCCATGTGGAAGAAATTTGGCTTGAATACATGAGTTTCAGGAGTTAACTATGTGTGTAAAGAGCAGATAATTTTCTAGTTGAAATTATGAATATCTTAGAATAAAATAATAAATCAAATTAAATGAAATTTTATCATATAGATAAAAAAAAGCAATCTGAAAGTAATTTCTTGCAACTAGTGAATGAAATGCTTTCTATTTTAGAAAAATAAAATAAAATGATATTTTATTCTAAAATAAAAAGCGTTTCATTGGGCAGGTGGAAGAAATGTGGCTTGATTATGAATGTTTGTCTATATACAGCAAATAGACAGGGTAACAAAGAAAGCAATATATAAAATAAGGTATGAAGACAATATGCAGATACTAATAATTTATGCATGTAAAATGTATGCATATAACTTGCATGAAATTGTATGTAATGCTATGGAGTGTTGGATGTGCAATGATGCGGGTCAGTACTAATCATGAGATACAGATTTTGAATAATAATTATAGAAGTATATTTTAAGGACACATCGATTTTTAGGGATTGAAAACTTTCATGTAAACCAAGTATTTCAACACAGGTGACACTATTAGCCAGGAACACGTCTACCATTAGAGAACTGTACGCAAATCAGATATAAAGTCCAAACAAACAGTGCCTCATGTAGCCAGCATTTCCAACTCTCTTTCACTCTATTATTTCTCCCCTCTCTGAATCTAATGTGTCCCTTTCCTCCGGACGCTCCAGATGTGGATGAATGTCTTACACAACAGCACAACTGCAGCCGTGGCACCACCTGTATCAACACCGGAGGAGGTTTCCAGTGCGTTAACCCTGAGTGTCCACGCTCGCACGGCAACGTCAGCTACGTGAAGACGTCACCTTTGTGAGTGAGCATACAGCATGCACACCTAGTGAGCTGCCTGATTACCTACTGCATACAACTCTAAGCCATGTCCACACATACACGGGTACTTTTATAAACTTTTTTCCTTCTTCCGTTTAAAAAAAAATCTCCGTCCACATGAAAACGCAAACGCATGCTATGAAGCACTGTCAAGAGCATGCCAAACCAACAGGTGGCGATATAATCTCAACCGTAAAAGCCATGTTGGCTAATCAGAAGCCTGGAGTATTACGCTGCCACAACTCTTTCTTTTGCCAGAGAATATTACATTGAAACACAGTCCAGAGACAGCTGAATAAAAGCAGTCTTCTAGTATTTTTGTTTAATCTTTGTCTTGCTCTCAGTTTGCAGTCAGCATTAAACATGATTAAATCTTCCAGTAGGTCCTTCAACAATCCATTACATTCCAGAAACGTGATGTTCATAAGGTCAATGAAATGTGTTTCCCACATGTAATTCATATGGAAGTTCATGCTGCCTGCAAGCTGCTAATCTCTTAAACTAGTAGTAATTCTCTTAAGCTAAGATAGTAAGCCTTAAAAAGTGCTTGATAAAAAAAAGCTTGTACGGAGTTTTGATTTCAATGGATAAATACAGGTGGTAACTCATTGCTGTCACAAGAGACCATGTTCAAAACCTTCACAACAGATTTTTTTCCTTCTTCCATTTAAAAAAAAATCTCCGTCCACATGAAAACGCAAACGCATGCTATGAAGCACTGTCAAGAGCATGCCAAACCAACAGGTGGCGATATAATCTCAACCGTAAAAGCCATGTTGGCCAATCAGAAGCCTGAAACAGTTTCCAGTAGGCAAAAATAACAGCGCAGGCTCCGACGTCACAAGCCAAAAACTCTGGTTTCGCTGTCTACACAATAACACTGCAACCGGAGTTTTTGAAAATCTTCACCCTGGCAGGCGTTTTCAAACATGTTCGGTTTCAGTAACGTGGTGCTGCGTTTGTGTGTGAACGAACCGCGTAGAAAAAGCTGCGGTTTTAAAAATAACCGCATTCGTGTGGACAGGGCCTGATGGAACCTGCTTTACAAACAAGTAAATACCACACCGGAGACTTGACAACTGATTCCAATATAAGTGGTCTTATGAATAAGTCTGACGTTAGCAGGTTACTAAACTAAGTGAAAAGTGAACAGAAATCTAATCATAATTATGGGATAAAAGTTGGATTTATGGCATACTGAGTCAAAATTCTGAGATAAAATTATCTTAAAAATTAAGTCAAAATTCTGAGATAAAAGGCAAATTCTGACAAAAAGTAGATTTTAAAAATAATTTAATAATCTCACAATTTTGACCTATGTAAATCTTCATGAAAATTAATTTAAATCTCAATTATGACTTAGCAAGTCAAAATTCTAAATAACGTAAATATTCTATAAATTATTTATAATTAAAATAAATTAATTAGTATATAATTAAATGTATATGTATTAGGGGTGGGGAATCACCAGAGGCCCCACGATACGATATTATCATGATACAATATTATTGCAATTTTAAATATATTGTGATATATTGCAATTTATTACTTTTTTTCCAACTTCAAATTATGTCCCCAAATGAAAACTTTGGCCAAATCAGTTTTAATTAAAAATAACATTTCTCAGTTTGTTTATCTCACTTCAATTTTATTTATTGTCAAGCAGACAAACAGACCAACACTTTCATGAAAACCTGTCATAAATGTTGTATGCACCTGGCAAACTCAACTATTTGTATTACAGTCTTAATTAAATGCAAACAGGTGCACTGTGCTACTGTGCTACTGCAACTTAAACTTGTACAAAAAAAGTTGTGCAGACCCTTCAGCAATTGGGGCATTTGAAAGTAAATTACTGTTAAATTTAAAATAAATAAAACATAGTCTTACATTGAAATAAAAATGATACATTTAAATTAAACATAAGATGTACTCTTAAAGTGAACAATGTGCTACAACAGGTATACTACGCACTGCTGTGCTCTTAGAGTATTTTACTTTCATTCATTCCATGGTCTATTAGAATTCTTGATTCTGCTTGGCTGGCAGATATGCATTAAAACCTGAAACAGTTTCCAGTAGGCAAAAATAACAGCGCAGGCTCCAACGTCACAAGCCAAAAACTCTGGTTTCGCTGTCTACACAATAACACTGCAACCGGAGTTTTTGAAAATCTTCACCCTGGCAGGCATTTTCAAACATGTTCGGTTTCAGTAACGTGGTGCTGCGTTTGTGTGTGAACGAACCGCGTAGAAAAAGCTGCGGTTTTAAAAATAACCGCATTCGTGTGGACAGGGCCTGATGGAACCTGCTTTACAAACAAGTAAATACCACACCGGAGACTTGACAACTGATTCCAATATAAGTGGTCTTATGAATAAGTCTGACGTTAGCAGGTTACTAAACTAAGTGAAAAGTGAACAGAAATCTAATCATAATTATGGGATAAAAGTTGGATTTATGGCATACTGAGAATAAAATTATCTTAAAAATTAAGTCAAAATTCTGAGATAAAAGGTAAATTCTGACAAAAAGTAGATTTTAAAAATAATTTAATAATCTCACAATTTTGACCTATGTAAATCTTCATGAAAATTCATTTAAATCTCAATTATGACTTAGCAAGTCAAAATTCTAAATAACGTAAATATTCTATAAATTATTTATAATTCAAATAAATTAATTAGTATATAATTAAATGTATATGTATTAGGGGTGGGGAATCACCAGAGGCCCCACGATACGATATTATCATGATACAATATTATTCCGATTTTAAATATATTGTGATATATTGCAATTTATTACTTTTTTTCCAACTTCAAATTATGTCCCCAAATGAAAACTTTGGCCAAATCAGTTTTAATTAAAAATAACATTTCTCAGTTTGTTTATCTCACTTCAATTTTATTTATTGTCAAGCAGACAAACAGACCAACACTTTCATGAAAACCTGTCATAAATGTTGTATGCACCTGGCAAACTCAACTATTTGTATTACAGTCTTAATTAAATGCAAACAGGTGCACTGTGCTACTGTGCTACTGCAACTTAAACTTGTACAAAAAAAGTTGTGCAGACCCTTCAGCAATTGGGGCATTTGAAAGTAAATTACTGTTAAATTTAAAATAAATAAAACATAGTCTTACATTGAAATAAAAATGATACATTTAAATTAAACATAAGATGTACTCTTAAAGTGAACAATGTGCTACAACAGGTATACTACGCACTGCTGTGCTCTTAGAGTATTTTACTTTCATTCATTCCATGGTCTATTAGAATTCTTGATTCTGCTTGGCTGGCAGATATGCATTAAAACAGTAAAAAGTCAGTTTAATCACCGTTCTATATTAATGCGCTGCTGCTTTAATGTATGCGCACACACAAAACACTCGCACAGAGAGAGAGAGAGATCAGACACCGCGCTGCACACACAGAAACGTTCAGGAGTAGGGCCAACATAAACTTGTTGTCAACGCTGCCCCGCGACTTTTATTAATAAAACTGCTTAGATACTGGATCACTGCATTATATTCCTCAGCGACGAGGAGGTCACACACACAACTGTCATCTTCCTCTCTTTCTCTCTCTCGAACAACCGATCGATAATTAATTCAAATAAATGTTATAATTCTGAAACTGATAAAAATAACCGTAATTTTTACCCATTCGGTCAAATATTGCGCTGCAAAGAGCAATACTAGTTTTAACTTGTCTATAACTTGGCAAATGACCATGGAATAAGTGGGATAATCAACGGCTTGCCGTGCATTAAAGGGGTCATATGATGCGATTTCAAGTTTTCCTTTCTCTTTGGAGTGTTACAAGCTGATTGTGCATAGATAAGATCCCTAAAGTTGCAAAGAATAAAAAAACAAAATCTCTATCAAAAATATTCTTTATCAGAGTTAAGACTCTGCCACGCCCCCCTAAAACGGCTCGTTCTAACACGCCCCCACATATCTACCTCACTATGTGGAAAGATTAGCATAATGCCGCCCAAATGTGCACGCAAAGAAAGAAGGCGTGGTTTCAGTAACCGCAGTTAGTGTTGAAGCAGCATGTCAGGGAGACGCTGTGTGTTTCTAGGCGAAAGCAAAAGCACTTTATTTGGCCTTCCAGAAGTAGATGCATTTAGGAATCTTTAAGATTACTTACAACAGAACAGCAATGCATTTTATGGACGACCGTTTCGTGAACCTAGGAGAGGAGGTCATTCTGACTTTGCTATGACAATCTGGC